TGGTTTGTAAATCAATGAGAGAGTTATTTTTATAGATATGTAAAAAGTTTAATTCAGAATATTTCTATAATAAATTATAAACTTTAACTTGTGTTCTTTAAATAATATGATATTTAGTTAGTATGAGGTCTTCAAGATTTTTGATATAAATAGCAAAAGCCAATCTTGGCTTTTGCTACTTATATCAAGTATCTTGAAGAACTCACATTAGTTAATTATAGTATAATATATTTAATAGTCCTTCTAACTGATCTAAGACAGTTCTAAAGTGTTGTTTCCGGAAGTATGTCTTAATATACTTGAATCACTATATTTATTAGTAACCTGACGGGTCTAAAATATTTAATAATAATACAACAATTTTGTTACTAATATAACTATTTAACTAACCTGAAGTGGACTTATATTAAAATTTAAAGAAGCCATAGTAGTGTTTTTATAAAGAGCTTTTGGTAATGTTTTTGCTTCTTCTGAACCAAGTTTGTATACTCCAACACTTTCAGACAAATAAACATCATTCATTAAAAAACCAGATGGTTCATTAAATTCATTATAGGCCTTTAATAATATAAGATAGGTTGAGTATATACAATATATTACTTTCTATATAAAAATTAAATAACATGATGTCTAGAAAAAAACTCCTCAAATAATCTGAGATGGAGACAGGCATAAATTAGGATTCAAAGAAGTCAAGGCAATATTTTTATAAAGTGCCTCTGATAATGTTTTTTCTCTCTTTAAACCAAGTTCATTAGTTTCAAAGAAATGGTAGGTCTTAAATAATATTAGATTAGACAACATTAGTAATGTTAACATATTGGAACAACTTTGACTAGCCTTTCAACTAACCTTGGGTTGTCTTAAAACTACATTTTTGGAAGAACCAAACAACAAACATAACTTTAAACAGTAACATATTAGTATTAAAAATCTTTAATCAATATTTTTATACAACATTCAATAATACTTTACTGTAATATCTCACTTTCATTGAAAGCTATAGTGATAGCGATAAGAGAATATCTCATATTACCTTAAACAATTTTAACAGTAGTAGCATATAACTTATCACATGACAGATGAAATTAGATGGTTAATTTTATTTTCAAAACTACTGGTTAGAATTAGCTATTTACTATTAATGGTTAAGTCTAACTACTAGAGCAAGTTATAATTATCCATATTTTAATATATTTAATATTAGAACTGAATTATTAATTAAGTTTTTTTGCTATATATTTATATATTTCAAAATAAATAAGTCCAATAGTTTTCTTATTTTTATGTTTACAGCTAAACTGTCTTTAGGTATCTTAACTAAATATAAAAAATATGTTGCATATCTAAAGTGTTATAAACTTCATAAATTATTAGATATAAAAAATAATAAAAAAGATAATAAACCTGTATACAAAAAATGTATATATATAGAATATCCTAAACATAGATCATTATCTTAAAGATTGGTTTATAATAAACTATTAGCAAAAATTATAAAAACTAATAAAGGATCTTTATTATAATTATTAAAACTTTATTCAATTAGAAGTATAAAACAACAACTTTATATGATGTATTAGTAACTAGGCTTTAAGAATCTGTTATGGCATTCTAGTAATAAAAATATTCTAAATAGAATTTTTTCAAACATATATAAGAATAATATTTGAAAAATCTTTTAATTAATTCTAATGATCTTTAACCATTTTTTACAAATAACAAACTTGATACTTATATTAGATTAGCTCTTAATATTAATTGGTTTCAATCATTCAATTATACAGTTCATAGTATTAAAGTAATTTATAAAGTTTTATATAATTTATTATATAAAGAATAATTTAAAACAAACAATATTTTAATATTAAATATTATACTAAAACCTAATAAACCTAGTAAATATCAAATTAATTACTATCTTGCACCAATCATTAATAAGTTATTAGAATTTTTTTCTAGTTTAGAATTACTAGTTATATTTGAATATAAAAAAAAAAAAGATATATGTAGTATTAATATTATTGCTAATAATGTTTTTACTACAAGAAAAATTTGTAGTCATACAAGTTATATATTTAAATGCTATTATTATCTAAATATATAAAATATAATTCTGATACTAAAAAAAACCACTACAGTAGTTTTGAAGATATAGAGAAATAGTTTAATTCTGTAGATATTTTATAGTATTTTAATGCAGCAAAATAATGATTATATTGCATAAATAAGAATAAATATAAACAATATATCAAAGATACAGGAGTAAGATAATCAAAACTATATCAGCTAAAATATTTTGATCCAGTTAAATTTATGATAGCTGACCAATGCATTGCTTATTTTTAGACATTAGCAAGTAAATAATAAGACAGTGTTTATTAAATTATAATAAACTTGATAATACTAAACTTTTAACAATTGAAAAATGTATATCAAATATTAAAGTTTTTGTCAATATAGATTATATTCCATCAAAAGTCACATGTGGATCAAAAGAGTTTAATCAATTTACAGCAGATCAATAGAGAATATTCTATCAAGTCTATGCTATTTCTTGCATATAAGATATATTAGATCTTGAAGATAAAAAAATCATTTTGAATTTTGTCTATATATATAATTTATTAATAAGCTAAATAGTTAAGCAAAGCAACATAGATGAAGCACATAATCAGCTAATAAATATGACACAGTTAATTAAAAAATATTATAGCCTAACATATATATTATCAAATATTTATTTATTATTTTATATTAGGCAATGTTATCTAGACTATATTTTACCTTATACTTATTGGTGTTATTTTTTCAAAAGGATAAATAATTTATTAAGATCTTATCTGATAAGCAATTAGTCAATTGAACCTGAACTTATATACATTCTAATAAAAAATATACAAGTAGAATTTAAAATAAATTTAGCAGATAGTGATAATGCAAGATTATTATTAGACAAAGTTCTTTTACTTTTGCATAAAAAAATATATAGAAGGTTAAAAATGATAAAAACTTTGAAAATAGAAATTTGGTAATATATCTGTAAATGGCTAATAAAATTGATACAACAAATATAATTATAGAAGTAGAAAGATATTCTGATAAAATTAATATTGTGGACTAAATTAAATTTCTATTTCCAAAATATTTTGAATTTTAATAAGCAATCCAAAATCATAATCCTAAATTTCAAAATCAAGGCAAAAATCCAATATGAATCTGATATAAATTTGATATTTCAATAAATTAAAATATATCTGATATTGTTAGAGATAAATAATATTTATCCTTAATATCGATATTATCATACAATTATGATCATGATTTACAAGTCCTTATTGGCTAACTAAGTTTTAATTTGAGATTGTTATGCTTATATAATAATGTACAAAAAACAACAAAAAAAATTTATAATTATAAGAGTTTGTATATTAATTTAACTTAACTTATTATATGAGTGCTATTAAGAAAAAACTTGTTATTAGACTTTTATTTATATTAAATATCAGTTAAGATTTTAACTAGGGATGATAAAAAATCATTTTTTAATGATTTCAATATTTTTTAATCAGATTTAATAAATATTTTAAAACATTGTTGATTATGATGCTAATAGCTGAAACCAAAATTACTGCACCTGATTAAATAATTTTAATTTCAGTATTGCATGATATTTAAATAATATTATGATATTAAATATAATGAAATAATATCAATTAAAATTATATCACATGATTTGAAATAAAATTTACTTGGTTATCAATGATGATGATTTAAATCATAAAAAAATTTATTTTAAAGCAATATAATATTAATTTAAAACATTGTGTTTTAAATCATTTGCCATCTCTAATCTTAACAAATCAAATAGATCAAGTCTGGTAATAAATAAACCTAAAATAATAATAAAGTTTTCTTGGCTATACTCATATATTTATAGTATTGCTACTAGATTTTTTTATTAGCAATTGTAAATAAAATATGGTTAAAGATTTTATTTTTTAGAGACAAATATTTAGAGATATAATATAGATTTAGAAAATTAGCAGACTTGCAGAATTAGTTAAAATTTGTGTATTATTGAAGATACTATTTAGAATCAATCAAGAACTAATTCTGCAAATCTGCTAATATATATTATGATAATAATATATAAATAACCTAGTTAAATAGAATTAAAATAAAAGATAAAAATAAAAAATATAGAAGTAAACTAAAGTCTAATAAATAATTTATATAATCTAAAAGTATAAAAGAGCTGTCTTTCTACTTTTACAATAAACTTTAGTTTAGTTCTACAAATTATAATAAGAACTAATTCTTAAAGTTTTATTTATTTGAATATTAATATATTATTTATTATTAATGTTGTATTATTTATTATTGTCTTGTTATCTAGTATTGATATAATTATGTAAATTTTTTTTGTCTTGATATTTTTCATATAATATATATAATTATTTATACAAAAATATTACAGAAAAAAATATCACATAGTCATATCTAACTATTGAATAACATCAATATTGAGCATACTTAAATAACAGAAAATTTTTTATTGTCTGCTTAATATTGTATATATATTATTTTATTTTCATATAATTATCTTCAATACTATAAATTACTTATTATATAAATATTATAATTGTTTTGCTTATATAATTAATTATGTACCTTGATCTATTTAATTTATTATTAACTAACTTCGATTTCTGATTTAATTAATTATACTAATAATGTTTATATCTTATAATATTCGATAAGTTATTAATAAATCCAAGTACTAAACTGTAAACTATTACATATTTTACTCTTCTAATTGATAGCAATAATATAAGCAATAAAATTGATTAATTAAATCTATATATTGATTATAATCAGTTTTTGATTTTAACAAGTATATAAAAGATTAATATCAAAACACAAATTACTTTATTAATCCTAATCTTTAATAGTTTTAGTAACTAAATGCTAGAAAACATTTACATTATCAAATTATATTATTTTAACATTGCATTAATCACTTTTTCAATATTCAAATCTTTCTCTTTACTATTCTCAATATCATTAGTTTGAATAATATATTCCTCTTGAAAGAGTTCAAAAATTATTTCATCTAAACTATCTGTAAAACTAGTTGCATTAAGATTCAATAATTCTTCAATTTTAAGCATGTCTTCTTTCAGTAAGATAGAATTATTCTTATTATCAGTTAGTGTTACAGCCTAAATCCTTTACTGAAGTTTGAAACGTTTCAGATTTTGAGTTTCGATTTCGCCCAAAATTCAAAATGTCTGAAACTAGCAAAACTAGGCAAAACTAGGCAAAACTAGACTTATCTCTATCAAAATCAACATAACACATAATGCAAACTTCAATACAACTATTAGAAATTATTATATCAAAGTCTGCATCACATTTTATATTAATTTTAATAGAGATAAGATTAAGTTTCACCCAATTTCGCCTAGTTTTGCCTAGTTTTTTTTGTCCAGTTTCAGACATTTTGGACTTGGCACCTTGGGCAAAACTAGGTTTCAGAGGTTTCGAAAGTTTCGCCTAGCCAAAAGTTTCAGTTTAGGCCATAACACTAGGCAGAACTAAAACTGATTTTTTCAGATATAACATTATATAGTTTCATGAGAGAATGCTTTTTTTTTTTTTTCTTGTTAAATATAGCTGTAAATTCGATCCAAAGGGTTTCAGTTTCACTAGACATTCGGATCTGTGACTTTGCACAGATGCTTTTCTTAATTATAAAATACAAGTATACAAGTAATAAGTTTCAGTTTAATTAAAATACAAGAAGTTACGCTAAATTTGCAATTGTTCTACAAACCTCCACTTCAGGCTTCACTTTTCTATTTTGCATTTTAATAATTTTATTATCGAGTGTTAAAATAGCCTGTTAAAGTTTTTTTATAGGTGCACCTTATGTAACAGAAATATTGAAATTTGGTGAGGATTTATGTGCAGATAAATAAATACTACAGTAATAATTACATAAATTAAGAATAACGTAATAAATAATCTCTATTGTTATTATGTCCTGGTTGTATGATATGTATGTCACAATTATGGTGATAAAAATAGCAAATAAAAAAATTATCAAGAATTTTAAGTTGCATTTTTTGTGAATATTTGTTTTGCAAATAATAAATTGATTAATTGGCAGTTTGAATGTGATGCGATTTTATGATTATTTAATAATTGGTTTTGCAACTTAATTTCTTACCCAAGATTTTAGCAATTTTGATCTGTTTTTATACATCAGATCTTAGTTCTTCATATCTAATATTAAATCAAGGCAATAGATTATTCACTAGTTAAAATATTATATTTTTGACTTTTAGATAAAATATTAGTAAGATAATGAATACTTTTATATATATTTTTATTTTATTTTATTTTTTTTACTTTTAGTAACAATGCCAGTTAGTTTTTATTAGTCTTAATTTGATATAGTACAAATTTATGATTATATTTTTAGGATCAATTATTACTAGTACTATATACTATCTAATTTA